TAACTATCCAACTCTTCTTCTTTTTCACCATTTGCAGAGACGGATCTCTCTCATATGGTAGTTCACTTAAGATAATTGGCTGAAAAACATGACCGCTCCATAAGGTCTCATCGTGTTTTACTAACTATAGCAGAACTATCAGTCTTCAGCAATTCTCAGTCTGTCATAAAAAACATTTTCTGAAAGAATGTTAATTTGAAAAGTGCACATATGGTGAACCAATAACAACCACATTTTGATTCGGAGGTGAGCTGTTCACTCCGTATTTCAATTGATCGTCATTATCTGTTTCTTTTCTGACAATTTATCCACTTTTTTTTCCCACTCTGCATTTTAAACGTTGGGTCACTCTTTTAATCTGGGGAACATCTGTTTGAAAAAACCCTAACATAAATCACTTCAGTTAATGTTGAGCAAAAAATAATGAGTGAGAAGTCTTTATCTGATTATCCATTATACAAAAAAACCCATTGCAATTTATTTCATAAAATTTTTTTAACATGACATTAGTATCATAACCATATCTGTGGTCAAATGTTCAGTGTGTTTTTCTCCCCTTCGGGATTATTTTCTCTTTGTTTTCCTAACTTTACATTATTATATTCAATATACATCTGTAGTTTTGTGCCACAAAATCTTTGAGTTTTTGGTTATTTATGATTTGATGAAAGTAATGAGTTAATTCTAAAAAGTTTCCTTTTGTTTTAGACTTTTCCATTTATCAGTGTAGAAAATAATGGCACCTCATTGTACCTTATTTATTTATCTTTTAACACCTCACCGATTGTTTATATTTTAACTGACATGTAGTTTTATGTTGCCTTAAATGTCTTACACTTTGTCTAACACTTAAAGACTCATTATTGCATGTTAGTTAATGTATTTGAATGTATTCAAAATTTTGAGATAAAGACAGATTTACTATGTTAATATTAGTTTAAAAATACAATGGATTTTTATGAGTTGTTAACTCCATTTAATAAATGATTAGACTTGTAATCAGATTACAGCTATGATTTTAACTTGCTATTTGGCAGTAGCTACAAAATAAACCCTACTGATGGGTAGTGTCACCTATTAACATGACCTAAGATAATTATTATTATTATAATTATTATTATTTTTTTTTTTTTGCAGACTTCATCATGAGTTTAATTAAATTAAATAATGTAAACTATCGGAGCCTTATTACACAGTCTAAACACACAACATCCCTAAATAGTCATAGAATTTTCAAGATTTTAGCATATCTACTATAGATTAACATATGAAAATGTTCATGTAAGAATTACTAAAATAACCAATTAAGTCCCCAAGCATTTGCCACTGTTATGTAAAGGACTACTAAATACAATCTGAATATTCTGTAAGGCTTGAAGTAGGGCTGGGAGATATTTAAAAAAAAAAAAAAAAAAAAATCTAAATTGTTTTTATAAAGTTTGACCAATTCACGATTTCGATCGATTTTTTTATTTAATTTGTTTTATTGTAACTAGTCAACTTAAACATTACAACAACATGACTAAAGTAACATTCTCTTTAAAAGTAACCTAAAAAAATCATCTGGTTAAGGAACATTGTATTTTTAAGGGCCATGCCATACACAAATTGGTCAACAAGGTGTAAATAAATGTAAAACAAATTCACTAGTTGAATATTGTTGCAGAAGATTTGAATAAATCATTTGTGTAAATGTTGCAGTTGCAGGAATACAGAGGTATTTTTTTCAAGTTTTGCTGAGCCTAGGAAAGATTGGCTGTCAGCTCTGCTTTGACTTTGTCTTCTTCTGATTGAATGACATGTTGTAATGTGCTTTACACCACTCTGTATTATGCTGCCTGATCTGTCTGGTTTTCAACTAGGTTCGCTTAATGACGTTATGGGGGTGGTTACTTTCATTTTCACTGCTACAGCTGTCAGCTGGTCACCTCTGCTCATGTTTAAACCAATATATCAACGCAATTCGAACTAAGACCGGCACGGTTTTTCTCATGGCAGGTTTTTCTGTCCTTCATACATGTTGGGATCGAATTTATCGACTTGATGAGGGAATATGTCTTGACAATCCAGACATGACTCAGAGTAATGCAACAAGTAAAATCCTAGATGACTTCACGCTTTAACAGGCAGTCAAGCAGGTCGCACACCAGAAGCGCCGCGAAACTATAACACACCAGACGCGCACATTCACATGATATTTAACATGAAACTAATCAGATGGCGCTCTGTGGCGCGGCTGAAATATGAACTGCGTCTTGAATGGTGGCTGGGCGCGCCGGTGTATGTATATGATTAGAATTCTAAAATCCATGGCGCTGCGCGGCGCGTCGCCGAGCAGCACTTCTGGTGTATGACCTGCTTCATACAGAGAGTGAACCAAAGCGCATTGGTGCCATTATAATGTATCAAGTTTTTTTTTATTTTTTTTTATCGTGATTCCTCGAATTAATCTAAAATTAAATTGTCATCAAAACGTAAATTCGAATTTATCGAAAAAATCGCCCAGCCCTAGCTTAAAGCTTTCGCTGCTAATCTAACCCAGTAATCGGAAACAAAACAGTTGAAGGATGGCGTGTTTAAATCAATCATTTATCTGACTTCATTGTAACTAATCTGACTCCATTAAAGCTGTTATCAACATTGATAAAGAGAAAGAAGTTGCTTGTTTAAATATACGGACTGTATATTTAGATCATTGACTTGGCTGTAACAAACGCACTGCTGTGTAACAAAGACCTTTGTTAGCATATGAGCTATGCACCGGTGTGCGGGAGAAGCAAAGTAAAATCCATTCTCTCTGATCAACAGTTATCATTCCTTATTATACTCTGAGCAAAGCATTGTCAAACATTAGTGAAAAACAACCCCCAAAACCAGCTAAATATCAAAGCAAAGTTGAGGAGATAAAATGGGGGAGAAGTACATTAACATAATCTCCTCAGGCCATGACTCAACAATAGTAAATAGATTGTACATTGAAATTCATCAATGTCTCTGTTGATTTCATCACTACAATAAATTGTCAAATGATAAAATGTCAAATGACACCAAACATGACCGTTATATAAAGGAAGATCACATTAAAAAGCACTCTAAAAGCTTAAATAATTATTTAAAATTCCCAGCAATATTAATATCGTGCATGTTCATATTACCAATATATATGTATTTATTGAAAATTGGCATATGTCTACTTCCATAGTTTAAAAAAAAGCTTTATAGGGCAAAGAAAGACTTCTCCACATGTGTCTGACAAAGGCTCTGGATGCCATCGGATCATTGACCTCTGTGGGTTTTGTCGTTGTGGTTGGTCCTCTCGGTGCCGTTTTTAAGAATAGCCACACTCTTCCTGACAGGTCTGGGAAAACTCAGCTGTCTCTTCAGTTTTCTGATAGCTCTCTGATAGAGGATAGCTCAAGTGTTGCACTCACAGCTGACGGGACTCAGGGAAGTGATGTCATGCAAAGCCTACTGTTTACTTCCAGTGAGGTCAAGCGAAGGTGTGACCTTAAAACAATAGAAACGTACATAAGCAGTTGAATCTGACAGAATGGCTTAAGATCAGGTCCAGGTCATGTTTCAACTTTAAAATCAAAGTTAAAAAAAGATTTATTTTCCATTTTTGTTATGTTGTGAGACCATACAATATGAATGTGTTATAATACTGCTAAATCACTGTAAACAGAAACAGGAATGCTCAAAAGTATCCAAAGAAATTCATTATTGTTCCAGCTTTTCATTCATTTATTTTATTGTGAGCAGTGTATTAAGCAACCCACGAGGATTTTGGAAATATTTAAAGGAAATATTTTAGGAATTGGAATATTTTAAAAATAAACCAAACGTTATAAAAACGTTATTAAAGGTTATGCAAATATATAATAATGAACAATGTTTTATTTATGTATTTATTTATTTGTGGTTGTTTGAGTAGTAGATTTAGTGTCATTATTTAAATGATAGACATTAAAATTCAGTAAGAAATGGTTAAAAATTTATGCAAAGTAAACAATTTTTTTAAATTTATTTAAAAAAATCATAGTTTTTATTAATTTATTTTATTTTCTTTATCATTATTTAACAGCTCAATGTTTTAATATTTTTTTTCATTTATTCATTTAATTGTTTGATATTTGTTTTATTTATTGATTTAACTTTTTTGTTATTTCATAATTTTGTGGTTTGTTTAATTTAATTCATGTTTATTTATATAGCGTTTTTACTTTATAGATTGTGTCAAAGCGGCTTAACATAGAGGTTCTAGTGAATTGAAACTGTGTCAGTCCAGTTTTCAGAATTGAAGTTTAGTTTAGATCAGTTTAGTGTAGTATAAATTTCATTGCTGAAAGTCCAAACACTGAAGAGCAAATCTATCGATCCACAGCTCCACAAGTCCCAAAACCAAGTAAGCCGGTGGCGAGGAACAAACGTCACCATGATCAAAACAAATAAAACAAGAATCCAGTTACAGTTACATAAATCCTTATTTATTTCTGATGTATCTTTTTAAATTGCATTGCTCTATAATTGTAGAAGGTTTATTATATTTAATGCTTTTCTACAAAAGCTTCCCAACCAGTCTAATATGATTAATAATTTCCAAATAGAGCTATTCAAGTCATCTGGTGAAATTGTATTTATATCCCAATATATATCGCAGAATTACAAAATATTGCAATGTTAGATTTTTCCAATATCTTCCAGCTCTAATACCTACTGTAGTGTGGATTTCCTTTGTCTTTGTGTTGTTTTCTTTTTCTTTAATTCAGTCTATAAACCTGCTATATTGTTATTCTTTGTGTTTTTGACTTTCTGTATCGGTCCATCGTTTTTTTCTTCGGCACAAATGCTATTGCACAAATTGCACCACTTTGCTCTAAACAATCAATAACAATAAGGTTTTGCTGCATAATATATCACATTGCTTGTGTTTTACCTTCTCAAAGTTTGCATCGACTCTTTGTTGAGATCTTAACTGCGTGGTTCTTGTGTCTTGACAGATTGAGGGAAGTGAATAATGCCCAAAGATTTCCAGTGGAGCCACTGCTGCAGAAATGCCCTGAGGCCCGGTCTGGACTGAAGCCAAGGTGAGCTTTACAAACCACTCACTTTCCTCCAGCAGACTGTTGGTTAATACACTGATGTGTGCTTCTGAAAGTGTATGGTGAGGAGATGAAGAAGACACGACTGTAATATACTGCAAAACAAATGAAAGTGTGAGTTGGTGTGTGGTTTGTGTGGGAGGCGTGACATCATTTCCTTTCTGTGTTTGGTTTGAGTAGCAAAAAAAAGGAAGCTTGTTTTCACTCTTGTTGAATCCTTTAGATCACTTCCATTTTTCCTTTTCTTTCATCTAGTTGAAAAACGGGTTTAATAGATCAAAAGTTTGCTAACATAGAAAGAAAAAAAGTTTGTAAAAGTAGAAAGAATCATCTCACTGCCTCTTCAGCTCTTAAAAGGCAATTTAATTAGACAACATTTTGACCTTACAAGGTCGTCATTGGGTCTTAATCATGCACCTGAATTTAAAAATGTTTAAGATGTGCACACACAGTTTTTCTTTCTATTCATTATTAATAAAAAAGTTAATCATTGAAATAAGCCAAAAATTCATGTACCCAAAAATGATTTTTTCTTCTTCTTACAAAACAGAAATATGCTTATTTAATGAATTTTGCCTTTTTCAATATATACAAAATCTATGTTTATATTTTATATAAATGCATATTTTAAATATTTTTATATAAATGCATTTTTGTTCATATCATAATTGCTTAACTATAATTTAAAGAAAATGAATATATACACAAATATATATACTATTTAATTATATTTTTGTAGTTGTTCCATTTAATTTATAGCATTTATAATGATTTGTTAAAAAAATCACTGTGGTCATAAAGGGATGGCCATGGTCAGCATCAATACCAGTCGAAATTTTTCCAATCTTCCATTGTCCAATTTTGGTGAGCCTGTGCGAACTTTAGCCTCAGTTTCCTGTTCTTAGCTGACAGGAATGGCTCCCGGTGTGGTCTTCTACTGCTGTCGCCCATCCAGCTCAAGGTTTGACATGTTGTGCATTCAGAGATGCTCCTCTGCATATCACGGTTGTACTGAGTTGTTATTTAAGTTACTGTTGCCTTTCTATCAGCTCGAACCAGTCTGGCCATTCTCCTCAGACCTCTGGCATCAACAAGTCATTTGCACCCACAGAACTGCCGCTCACTGGATTTTTTCTCTGTAAACCCTAGAAATGGTGAAAATTGTGTAAATCCAAGTAGATCAGCAGTTTCTGAAATACTCAGACCAGCCTGTCTGGCATCAACAACAATGCCACATTCAAAGTCACTTAAAAATACCTTTCTTCCCTATTCTGATGCTCGATTTGAACTGCAGCCGATCGTCTTGACCATGTCCACACGCCTAAATGCATTGAGTTGCTGACATGTGATTGGCTGATAAGAAATATTAGTTAACGAGCAGTTGGACAGGTGTACCTAATAAAGTGGCCGGTAAGTGTATATTTTATATGCATAGAAATATGTGCATGAAAACTTTTTTTAATAGCTAAATTATATTATATTATATTAAAATCCCAAATACACATTTTAAATGTCAAAATTAATATTCATATTTGGTATATAAATATATAATGAAAAGACATGTTTGAAGGTGCTGTGATGTGCTTTGAAATGTGCATTTTTTGTATTCGATGTTTGATTTAATCTAAAATGAAGAGAGGGTGCGACTAGAGTAGCTCCTCCCCTTTTACAAAAACAATAATCAATAGGGTTTTATTTTTATCACAGCTCGCAGAAGTGATGAAGAGCAAGCTTTGGATGTTTATATTAGTTTTACATTTTCTAAACACTCTTTTTGTCACTGTTTTGGAGCACAGAAGCTTACAGATACCCTTAAAACCAACAGAATTTTTGCTTCATATCACAGGACATTTAATATATACATACACTTTATTTATTTATTTATTTATTTATTTATTTATTTATTTATTTATTTGTTCATGCATGCAAGTACTAATAGACATAATAATCCCCAACATAATTAGCACAAGCATTCCTAAAATCAATCAGCAGTAGTTGAGTAGTTCTCCAGCTCCAGTTAGTGTCACTGAGAACAGCATGTGTGTTTGTCACACTCACCACCTGCTCTACTTGAACCATTGCTCTGCCAGTCCTGTGACTGAAGCGCCTTGACCATCAGAGAGCAGGAATTGAGGCCGTGAATCGGTGACTGTATGTAGCGGTGGGACAGCTTGATTGTCCTGCGCGGTGAGGAGGAGGAGGGCGAGGGCCGGCTAGGGGGTTGGGCTACTAGAGCCGCTCAGATGGGATTTGCATTAGTAGTTTGTCAGCTGTCATTAGGAGCAGATGACAGTGAGGATAAGCTGTTTGCACACGGCTCTCATTCAGCCCTCCTCCACAAAACTGACCGTCCGCACACCTTACCAAAAAAAAAAAAAAACAGCTGAGAGATTCATGCCGCTGTAGGAGAGGAGGGTGTGAAATTTCTGCTGATTGTTAATTTTCACGTGTGTTCATTTAGATTAACAGTTTAATCGCGTGTTTTGTTTTGTCTTGTCACTTTATTGCGAGATTATTATACATGTTGATTAGGTGTTCTTTTTATTTATGTAGTCTTAATTAATTTATTTATTTCATATAAACATGAATTCAGGGCAACATTTTGGCGCAGTGGGTTGCACGATCACCTCACAGCAAGAAGGTCACCGCTTCGAGCCTCAGCTGGGTCAGTTGGCATTTCTGTGTGGAGTTTGCATGATCTCCCCGTGTTCGCATGGGTTTCCTCTGGGTACTCTAATTTCCCCCACAAGTCCAAAGACGTGCTATTGGTGAATTGGGTAAGCTAAATTGACCAGGCTGAATGTGTGTGAATGAGTATGCATGGGTGTTTCCCAGTAATAGTTGCAGCTGGAAGGGCATGCGCTTTGTAAAACATATGCTGAATAAGTTGGCAGTTTATTCCACTGTGGCGACCCCAGATTAATAAAGGGACTAAGCCGAAAACAAAAGGAAAGAATGAATAAATATTTGCAATAATAAATTAAAAAATTACTTTGACAACTTTATAGTTTGGTATATTTATCTCCGGCCCTCCACCCTCAATAAATTTTAGTTTTTAGCCCTTCATAAGAAAATTTTGGCCACCCCTGGTTTAAACCCAAATAAAATGAGCATATTATTCCACTTTTGTTCAGTTCTTCACATCTAGTCTGACATTACATGTCTGTATCTTGCATTTATATTTTTATTCTTCATTTTCTCATCTCCTTTAACGAAGTTGAACCACATACTCTATTAGTGTGCTATTTATCTTTTGTGAGAATATGTTAGAGACATAAATATTTGCCATTTACATGAAAGGGTTTATTAAAAACCACAGCAGACTGTACATGTTCATATTTGTCTGTAATGCATTCTAGAATTATCTGTAATGCACACATGAAATGTGCAAATCATGAGCTGCTTAATTCACTACAGCGCCAAAAAGAGAAACAGAAACATGCATTCTGTGTGCAATGTGCACAATCATCAAATTCTGATGATTATGTAAAAGTGATTTGAGAATTTTCTGTATATGCATTCCAGTCCGTGTGTCAGGTTATGCTGAGTGTTGTGAGCTGATGCATGTGGTGTCAGTTCACGCTGTCCATATATATATATATATATATATATATAATGCACATCAACAACGTCATCCGCTCATCTATAGCCCTTCAAGGAAAGTATCCTGTATTTAGACACACACTTCAAAATAGGAAGTTACAGGGATAGTTTACCCTAACACATCAATTCAATAACCATTTACTCAACCTTCACTTGTTTCAAAGTTGTATTTTTTATTTTTTACATTGAACACAAAGAAAGATATTTTGAAAAATGTTAAAGCTTGTAACCACTGACTTTCATTGTAGGATAAACAAATATGGAAGTTAATAGTTACAGGTTTTTCTACATTCTACAAACAGAAAAAAAAACTCAAACTGGTCTGGAATAAGTAAAGGATGAGTAAATGATGACAGAATTAAAACTTTTAAGCGAACTATCCCTTTAACCACCTAGATTACTTGCATGTTAATTAGCCAATCCTAGATCAGCATTCTAGAAACCAGTATTAGAGCTGTCTGTCATGGGGCAGGATTTTATTAAATGTGCATTTTTGAGTTACTCTGTGAAACCTCATTAATGATTGAGGTGATAGAATTTACATCACACGCCTTTGCCATTAAAACAGATGAGTTGTTATTCTAGTAACTAGCTATTAGCACGCTAATAACATCTTGTTCAAAAGAAGTTGTTTTGCAAGATTCCGATCAAATTGTTTCTGCACAATGACTGTAGTTAGCCTGAAGGAGAAAGCAAATAGAAGGAAACTGGTAATCCTTATAACTTCAAAGGATATGCCAGTGTACTCTGATACATTTAGAAAGGAGCTTGTGTAGATTCAAGTGTCTGCATTCAAATGCTTCAGCTCAAAAACAAGACTGTTAGCATGAGTTAGCATTTTAGCTGAGTTGTGGTGATAAATGGATTCTGTATCAATTCCGAGATTTTTAAATTGCATACTAGATATAAAGACTGAAAGAAGCCTTGTGGGAATGACTAGAGATGTGGTTTATTTATGTTTTTAGCTTTTTTTATTTTTACTTGGGACAATTGTATTTATGCTGGGGTGTATTACAGAAAGTTTCTTATCTTGGGTCTGTTTTCATTCATTAATTTTCTTTTGGCTTAGTCCCTTTATACATTAAGAGTTGCCACAGTGGAATGAACTTCTCCAGCATATGTGTAATACAGCAGTTGCCCTTACAGCTGCAACCCAGTATTGGGAAACACCCACACACTCATTCACGCACATGCAATATGGCCAATTTAGTTTATTCAATTCACCTGTACCGCATGTGTCTGGGCTGTGGGGGAAACCGAAGCACCTATAGAAAACCCATAGGAACACAGAAACCATGCAAGCTCCACACAGAAATGCCAACTGACCCAGCCAGGACTCGAATCAGCGTCCTTCTTGCTGTGAGATGACCACAGCTAACAGC